TGACCTAGGATGTTCTCGTATGCGCGTTTGCTTTGTTATTCGAATATCTGGGAACCATTAGATAACCTCATGCTGCTCTCCAAAGGAACAGTTATGTGTGATGAATAAGGTTTGCTTTTATTGTGACTCATAAATTCTCATCAAACTGTCACAAGGATATCGATTGTTTAGGTGGAGTGTTTGTAGTTATAGTTTTGTAGTTGATTCGTTGAAGAAACCGACTTTTTAACCGTCCTCTTTAATCCATCAAAAATTTCTGTGCGGTCATGGTCAAGTAGTATGGGTCACTGCCACCTCCCATCCACATGTTGGTCGTTCGAGTACCACCACCTGTGCTGTCGGATTTCACGTCCCTTGCTAGCCTTCACTTAAGCGCAATCTCCTACCCGTCAAATCGACTGCACGTTTACAAAATTAAAAAAAAAACACGGACAATTCTCCTGGGGTAATGAGTATCGTACAATTGTTTTACCATTTAACAAGCCCAAGATCTGTCGATGTAGATTACTACAGTCATCTATTGCGGATTATTTCCTTGTCATTCTCAGAATTTTTGAAATCCGTGTTATCATGATCCACATTTCCGGTATAAAACAGCCAACAGATGTAAATATAGTACGAGTTTTGCTGACAATATTTCAGTCGTTGTTCAAGGATTTCATGTTTGTGTGGGTACATGAATCTGTGATCTCCCCGAGGTTATGCTCCTCGTCGTTGTCTGTTTGGCTAGCCAGTCGTGTAGTTCGATAGTCTTGTTATCACTACCGTGTGAAAAATGCTAACTTACAATGGGTGTTACTTTCATCTCTTATGATTTAATGCTTGTGAGAAAAACTAGTGCGGTCAAATAAACAAGATCTTGTTAATACCGCGTGAATTCACAGACGCTTTCGGGGACCGCAATTGGAGCGTAATAACGTAACCAGTCCCCACTGGAGTAAACCCTCAACTCCCGCAGATTGTGTTTATGGGGCATTTGCGATGCATGTCATCACTTTGGCTTCCTGTATCTGTCGATGTGGGGGGAAGAAGGCCAAGGTTAGTCGAACCATACACGAAGGTGTAAAAACATTGACCAACAGTGACACTCGTTTATCTTGTCCATATCATTGCAGATTTATTCAACTTGGGCTCTCTGCCTTCACCTTGGTACTGCTCCCGGCTTTTATGAAAACACTAACCACGAGTCTAGGTCACACAGTTCACGTTAGGCTCCCTGGATGGGGACCTCGGGATAGTTGTACCCGATGGTCAGATACACTAAGTGATATGGTTGGGTGTCGTAAACAGTGATGTTCGTGCATCTCAATTTCTCTGTATCAGTAATCCACTGAACTTTTCAATTTTCTCTTCCATCCTACTTTCAACCTTTCCTGTCTTTCTCCTTATGTTCATCCAAATGGGTAGCCGAAAGATAGCAACCAAAACCGGCGCACAATAGATCATGGTTAATGGTTGTGCAAACTGAAACTAAAAACTCCCAGCTTTCTTGTTCTTCCCTGTCTTCGCCTTCATTCGAATGGGCTGCCAAAAGACTGCAACCAGAACCACTGTGCGATAACTGAATGTTAGTTTAAATTGAAACTGAACGTCTAGCGGCTGCTATGTAATCCTTACTAGGACACTGGGGACCCCGAGATCATGGCAGCTGGTGGTTAGAGACACTGAATGATATGGCTGGATGGCACTTACGCATCTACTCATTATTATTGCAACCCCAGTCCATGTGAATTCTCTATCTTCCCTTTGACTCTTCATTCTGCTCTTTTATCCAAATAGGCAGCAAAAAGACATTAACCAAAACCGGTGCACGAAAGTGCATGTTTAGTGGTGGTGAAAACTGAAAATGAGACTTGTTTTTATCCATGAAAAAGCGTAAGAATCACATTCTTACCTCATTGGTTCTGGCAGTGCTCACTGGTTTGATTAAGCATCCTGGATGTATGACCCTGTCCAAAGGGTGTATGATCAGATTTGGATTAACCGAGAACCACAGACACAAATTCCGACAAACGGTAGCGATTAAATTGTGGGATCAATGAAAAAGCCTGCATGAAAAATTCGCCAGTGAGACAAATAAATCCACGTTGAACACGATCAAGCAGAGATGCGGAAGTGGACGAAATCCTGTCCCCAACTGTCTGCCGTACTCAGGAGTGGTGTGTCTTTGGGTTTCTATATAGTAATTAAATTTGAAATGGGTTAGCGAAGCGCCTTGTATGAAACAGAAAACTGTACACATGCACTGGAATGATAAATAGAGATTCAAGAGCATACAACAAAGCGCTAACCTACGAGAGGAGGTTCCTCATTCAAGTTGGATGCTATGAACATCGCCTTTAGGGAAAACAAGAAAAAGGCCGTGTTAGAGGTTTTAAATGTTAAACAATTAGACTAAACCCATACCGTTGTTCGGTTGAAATCGGAGTTCATTGATGTGCACATGCTACACTGATCGCTAATCCATTTATGTCAACTTGGTTCCGACGTGGTTTTCTTTTTCACTCTTATTAGAGTTACACATTACCGAACGCAACATCTGTAAGGCATCACCAGAACTACTTTGCTTGCGGGCTGTTATACCCATCCACTTTTATGTCTATTAACGATCTTCCCCGCCCCCTCACTTAACTAGTCCTCCGTGATCTACATCTATGTGGACGCTGTTTTCAACTAAGTACAAGCAGGGGCTTTGTGGTTCGGTTATAGTTAATTATGTAATCCGTAGTTCTCCCATGAATGAAAAGGAAAAGTAACACGACTCACTAAGTTATTCAGTGTTCCTCGTGTTTCACTTCCNTCAAACGTAGTCATCGCTATGTTATCCTCTTAAAAATGCTCACAATGTGCTCGTAGAGAGACATCCAGTTTATAAACAAAAAGCCATTGTATTTCTAATGAGCACACTCAGTATGGGGCTAATGATCTGCGAAGCAATCGCGGACAAGTCCAACAAAATGCCTTTCGATTCTGCTTAAGCTAGTCTTACACTTGTCTGATGGCGTTTCAGGCACAAATCCTATCCTAAAACCACCAGTAATAGGTGTAAAGCATACATCCTGGTGAGATCTATCTCTCTGTGAACTGCCTTTTTCCTCAATGGTCTCTTGTTTTGCAGAATAGCCAGCTCGAGGTCCAGCTTATTCTTCGATTGGAATCATTTTTNACTCCGAATCCAGAATCCACGGAAACCCCACCGGTTGTGGTCACTCCGGAAACATCCAAGCTATTGGGACGTTTGGTGCGTAATAATCCCCGTGGCCCTTGTCGTCTCCCCCCAGCTGAGCATCTGACCAATTTGCGAACGCTAGCGCAAGACCTCGGACTCGGGCGCAGACTGTGGCGTAGTCGAGATCCGGATTTCCTCCTCGAATTGCTGCGCAGTCAGAGTGGGTCCAATAATTGTGTTGTATACCATACGGCCAATCTTCTTTCTATGATTAGGTATCTCATATTTTCAGCAATTATGTGGCGGTGTCACCTCCAGTCGGTTGGTTCTTTCTAATACCTCTGTGCAATCTGTGCCTTGTGTGTTTTTTGTAGAAAACTTCACAAAGCCGGTGATCGTTCGCGTTTGGAATACCGCAATAGTTTTCCGCTGTTTGATGCCTGTACCATATGCTGATAGCATCTGGCGTTGTCTTTCAGAAATTAGATTCTTGTGATTTTCCGCCTCATCCTCGTTTACTCGTTGTTCGTATAATGACGGGTGCAGTCATTGAATTTCCTTCCTGGTTTTTGATTGTTGTTCTCTGGAGGGATTTCTGTCACCCGCTAATTTGTCTGTACTTTTTTATCTAAAATTATGTTGTGACCATATTTAGCAACTTAGACTAGTTGATATGTTCGGTTTTATCTCAGCCTTACCAGTTGGCACTCTTTCCTCTTGTTTCAATACAGGTCATCCTGTTTTTAGATCCGTGCATCTCAGTTTATCCGTTCTGGCATTCAGCCTCTCACCGTCATATTATGTACCACTTAATGATAAAAGCACACAGTAATGGGCAACATATGACAAATAGACAACAAATTTCGTTTCTTCACCTGTGTATGATTGTGCAACCTTCAGGAAGAGGGAAGCGACCAATCCAAGGGCCGCCATGGAATATTAGGTAGTTGGTAGGCTTAGGTGGCGTTGGTGGGGTTCACAAACACAATCACCCAAAACGCCTAATCACAGGCGACCGTTTGAGTCCGACGATCGCCGTAGCTTCCGATCGCCAACGAGTGCAGAAATCGAATATTATTAATCGAGGCTTTTTTTTACTTTGTTTTTCCTCTCTTCCACTCTAGCTGGTCACGCTTCCGTTCAACCTTGGCTTGTACGTTTGGTTGAATCCAGTGGTACAGAGTTTGAACTGCTTCCGATTCAATGTCTCTGTGAATACTTGCTGCGAGACACGCTAGCCAAAATGCATCAATCTCGAGTGCACATTTTGCCACTATCAGCCATGAAATCAACTATGAATTCGTTCGCTGCGGGTCGAGTACATCACGCCAGTACCAGTTCCACGGACTCTTTCGGTCAGTTCTGTTTGTGTTTTGTGTCCATCGATTTTATTTCAATGTTGATAGATTTCAACAAACGCCAAACTATACAAGCAGACGCATTTCTTCGACCAGTATTCTCAGGGCGTCTGGCTTTAATGAGAACATTGTGCCGAGCATTGCGAGATTGGGCGAAATTAAATGTCCAAGTCTTGTTAGTGTTTATTGTTTATCGTGTATTTGCGTTATTGCGGCGTTCAGTACATCGGATCATGCACCCTTTTGACGGAGCCAAAATTCCAGCCTGCCCAATACACCTCGATATCCAATCGAGTCGGTGACCATTGTCACAACCAAGGTGTGGTGATTGTGGTTCGTACGCCTCTT